TCAACTCCACTACTCGTGCAATCATCTCACCCACCCACCCGCACTTTGGTTTACAAAGCCCACGCGGCGGCGATTGCGATGTGTGCTTGGTTCTGGCTGGTGCATTTCTGCGGCCGTTCCAGCCCGCGCATGCTCGCGCGCACATTGGCCAGCTAGGCACTTCCCAGCGCATCTCGCAGGCCGCGCTTGCGCGCGGGCGCTTCAGTGCGAGTCGGTGACTTGGGCGGGCACGGTATCATGGCGACGTCGACAACGGTAGGCACGATGCTGATAGTAGCGGTGATGGTGACGAGAATGACTATGACGACGGCAACGGCAATGACGGTGCCGATGCCCATCACGCCGATGACGATGATAGTGTCCTCGCGTCGGTGGTGAAGGTTTTGGGCGGATTTCGACATGCGCGTGCGGCCGACACGCGCGAGTGGCCCGCATGGTGTTATTTCACAGGGGCCGTGCCCCCCCAGCACGCGTGCAAAGGCGCTCTAATGATTTCGACAGGGGCGCGCGAGAGGCCCGCTTGGTCGAATTTGAGGAACACGTTGGAACAGAACCGTGTTTGTTAACATCTGTGTCCGGGACACTCGTTTTGAACTCCTTACGAAATCGACCGTATTTGCAGGATCTCGGTATGCGCGCGCGACCTCGCGCGCGTGCGCCTTTCGTCCCAGTTGCACGGGGATCTTGAACATTGAAATATTTGATAAACGGGTATGCCCGCATAGTGCTTTTGCAAAGGATGATGTGGGGGGGTGGGGGTCGATACCAGTCTGGCTGGGATGGTATGGGTCCATCATTCAGTTCGAATCAGCGATGGGGCATCGTCATATGTAAGCTGCACACCCCCAGGGAGTATAATCACGGCCTCGGGGGTGGGTGGTAGATTCTAGTCCTCCTCCACAGACGAGAGCCTATGTTTTGCATTCTATGCAGTGTTCGGTAGGTTGTACAATGCATTTTTTTGCTGGCTGGTGCGTCGTTGCGGCCGCGCTAGCGCGCGCAGATTCGCGCGAAAAGCGGCCAGCTAGTCTGGCGCGACCGACGCGGCCGCGGTAGCGTTGACCGCTGGTAACTCCCCAGCGCGCTTTGCAGGCCGCGCTGACGTGCGTGCACATCCGTGCGACTCGGTGGCTCGGGCGGGCGCGGTATCGTGGCGACGTCGACACCGGCAGACATGATGATGATAATAGCGTTGCTTGTGGCGATGATGACAATGACGACGGTCAGGGCAATGACGGCGCCAATGCTGATCACGCTGATGACGATGATGGTGTCTTCGCGTCGGTGATGAAGGTTTGGAGTGATTTCGACGTGCGCGCGCGGTCGTCGAACGCGAGTGGCCCGCATGGTCTTATTTGCCAGGGGCTGGTCCCCCCCAGCGCGCGCGCGCAAGGGCGTTCGAATGTTTTCGACGTGCGCGCGCGAGGGGCACGTTTGGGAACATTTGATGGACATGTGGAAAATTGGTGGTTTGCGCAACATTTCGCACAATCGCGAAACGCCGTTTTCTGAACACTCTTGTTGCGAAACGGTTTTTTTTCATGCTTTCGGGGCACATCTATTTGCAATCCGTATGTATATTTATATATACATATATATATATGTATACATATACACACGCACGGAAGATTCCGTGATGCGCGCGCGACGACGAGCGCGTGTGTGGTTCGTCCTGTTTTTTTTGTGCGGAACATATTTGAGCATTCATTTTTTTGGACAACATATTCAGCGCGCGTAATGTTTTCCCGACGGATGGTGGCGGGGGTCGAACCCGATTTGGTTGGGATCAGATGGGTTCATGTCTAGAATGGGCGATGCAACAGAGTTGTATGTAGATTGCACATCCCCAGTGGGGGGATAATCCCAGCCTCGGGGGGGTGGTAAATCGGAGGTTCGGGGGTGAGATCGCAGGGGAACGGGTACCCCCAACCAGGAAATCGTTTCGTTTCGTTCGTGTCGCGCGTGCGGGCGAGGCGAAACTGCGTGGGCGTGCGAGAGGGCTGAACCCGCCGTTGCCAGGGCGAAGTCTAGACAAATGAGTCTCTCCCGCCCGCCCGTCCAGCAGTGGCTCGCGGTGTCCCGCGGTGTCCCGTGGTGTCCCGTGGTGTCCGCCGTTGCTACGGCGAGGTCAAAACACATGTTTTTCCCCCGCACGCCCGTCCGTCGGTGCGTCCGGCTGTGGCTCGCGCTGTCCCGCGGTGTCCCGTGGTGTCCCCTGGTGTCCCGTGTGTCCCGTGGTGTCCCGTTGAGTGCGATCGATAGTGAGATCGATCGTAATATCGATAGCAAGATGATAGTGATATCGATCGTGAGATCGATATTGAGATCGATGGGGTGCCCCGAGGTGTCCTGTGGCGTCCCGTGGTGTCCCAAAACATGAGATCGATAGTGAGATCGATAGTGAGATCGACAGGTGTCCCGTGATGTCCCGTGGTGTCCCATTGAGTGAGATCGAAGGTGAGATCGATAGTAAGATCGATAGTGGGATCGATGTGGTGCCCCGAGGTGTCCCGTTGTGTCCCGTTGTGTCAGATCTATAGTGATATCTTATGTGAGATCGACAGGTGTCCCGTGGTGTCTCGTGGTGTCCCGTGGTGTCCCGTGGTGTCCTAAGGTTTCCCGTTGTTTGAGATCGATCGTGAGATCGATAGTGAGGCCGATCGTGAGATCGAGAGGTGTCCCGCGGTGTCCCGCGGTGTCCCGTGGTGTCCCGTGGTGGCCCGTGGTGTCCCGTGGTGTCCCGTTGAGTGAGACCGATAGTGAGATCGATAGCGAAATCGACAAGTGTCCCGTGGTGTCCCGTGGTGCCCCGAGGTGTCCCGTGGTGTCCCGTTGAGCGAGATCGATATGAGATCGATCGAGTCAGATGTTGGTGCCCCCCCCCTCTTCACCCGAAGTGTGGTCGTATACGTCGTAATTCCTTGTTAGAAACGAGAATCCATGTCGTGCGCTCTATATGTGGTGCAGTTGTGTCATGAGCGATGAGGCGGGCGCGAAGATGGGGGGGGGCGCGGGCTCGCTGTCTGCACAAGGCATCAGTGCAGCGCCACCGTGCCCAGCCGGGCCCAGCCTGGTCCCCAGGGGCGGGCCGTACGGGTCCTGCCGGCCCAGGCCAGGAGAGCGTGGGCACCATGCCGGGGACTGGGGATGGCCCTGGCAGGGGGTGGTGGGGGTGTGCTCGGCAGCACATCGTGGTGTGTGCAACTCAGGAGCGAAAGAAGGACGTACATGTACATGAATCCACGCTGGTCTCGAGAGTTCACATTGCGCAAATGTCCGTATCACGCGGCCGGTCTCGCGGATCGAGGAGCCGTGTTCATGTACATAGCTGGGTGCGTACGTCCTTTGTGGGCTCCCCAGGTGGTGGAGGAGGAGGAGGAGGAGGAGGAGGAGGAGGAGGAGGAGGAGGAGCGGGGACACGGGATGGCCCTGGCCGGGGGTGGTGGGGGTGTGCTCGGCAGCACATCGTGGTGTGAGCAACGCTGTCCGGTGCAGCGCCGCGGCGGCGGCGGGCGGGGCGGCGCGGCGGGCGACGCGGCCGCGACGGCCCGCGCCAAGGCCGCCCGTCGCCGCCCGAGCGGCCCAGAGGAGGGGCGGCGACGGGGCGGCGACGGCCGGCGCGGACCCGCCAGGCTGCCCAACCGGTCCAGTTCTTCAGAGCAGAAGTCCCAGACATGATGGCGTCGTGAAAAATATCAGGACGGGAGGTTTTTCGCTATCTTCGGCCCCTGGGGGCCCTCGCCGGGCCTCGGGACCGTCAAAAAACGACTCAGGACGAAAAACCGTCCCCAGGGAAAGGGTCTAGATTTCCAGGGGCGCCGTCCTGAAAAAATCAGGACGTCGCATGTCTGGGAGCAGAAGTGATCGGCGTCACCCCAACATACTTATACTATAGGTGCGTCGCTCCCCCCAGGGGCGGCGCGCGCGCCGAGAAATCTTACAGTATATGCGTCGTGGCGTGCGCTTTCTGGCCACACCGCTCGGGAAACGATGTACTACAAGAGGGGTACACTACATGTTCGGGTCGGACGCTCGCCTCCAAGGAGGACATATAGTACTAGTATGTCTCTGTGCTTCCCATGAGAACCCTCAGGTGCAAGCAGTGTCTCGTGAGTGTATGTATGCGCGTTTAGTTCTTCATGGGCACACAGGCGGGTGCCATTCGAACAGCAGGAGTGGTCCAGTTCTTGAGAGTAGATATATTGAGTCGGGCCTGTCCCTCTACAGGGGGATTTTCGACGAACAAAATAGAAGATACCCCAAGAATAGTCCACAAATGGTCCAAGTATGGTCTGGGGACCACTTTTTGAACATTTTTTTACCTTTTCGGGGTATTCTTAAGTTATTTTTCATTTTTCGTCGAAAATCCCCCTGTAGGGGGACACGCCCGACTTAATAGAAGTAAGAACCCTAAAGTGCAAATATTGTCTTGTGAGTATATGTGTACGCGTTTCATTGTTCATGGGAACAAAGGCGGATGCCATTCGAACAACAAGAGTGGTCAGCCCAATCCGGTCTTCGAATAAGGGTTGCTACGCAAATCTTCGGCTGGCGTCTTACCTTACCTGATTCCGCATAGCCTCGGTGTGTCGCTCTGGTCTTAGCCTCGCTTCACACGTGGCACAGCCTGGTATATTTTAGCTTCGTGGATCGTGGTGCAGGCGATCATTGTTTAGCTTGACTTGGCGTGAGCTAGCTCAGTTCAGCGTTTCTGCGGTCAGCTTCGTCTAGCTGGGGTTGTATGGGATTGGCTTGACGCGTCTTTGTTTGATCCAGTGTTGGCTTACTGGTGTGATGTTGCACACAAGCTTCGCCTTGCTTATCAAGGACCATCTTAGCTTACTGTCGAGCTCGGCTAAGCTAGGATGGGTGCATATTTCTTATGTTTTTTTGCCCACGACAACCGAGCTTGGCCTGTACAGTCTAAGTCAAATCAGTCCAGCTCGACTCAGCTTAGCTGTAAGTTCCTTCAGCCCGGCTCATCCCAACTACGCTGATAACGCGAAAACGGCTCCCCCACATTTTCGCCACGCCTCCCCTGGGGATGAGCGACCGTGCATGGCCAGTATTTTCGAACCCCGCAGTGCAATGAGTGTTTGAGGGTTCAGCGGGGAAGGCTAGTGAGGGTGCAGTATAGATTGGCCCCACAGCAGCACCACCCATACAGGTATCAGCATTGACTCGGTAGGCCCAGGGGGGGGCAAGCATTCTCCTCCAGTCGGTCTGGATTCGAATACTTTGCCAATGTGCCCGAGGCAGAGGGAAGCCCTGGAGGGTCGTACTGATAATGGCGGGGTGCGTCCAAGGAGTGCACCAGACTGCAGTTCTGGTTGGCGACGGGCGCCGTGGTCGTCGCCATGGTGCTCTGGCGCGTGCTCCTTGCCCGGCACACTTCTCGGGACGAGCTCCTGGGCAAGTTACCGTACACTTGTGGGGCGGTGTCGCAGGAGGGCAAGGCCACGTTGGGGAGGAGGAGGAGGAAGAGGAGGAAGAGGAGGAGGAGGAGGAGGAAGAGGAGGAGGAGGAGGAGGAGGAGGAGGAGGAGGAGGAGGAGGAGGAGGAGGAGGGAGGAGGAGAAGGCTGGGGGTAGGAGGAGGAGGAGGAGGAGGAGGCGGAGGAGGAGGAGGAGGAGGAGGAGGAGGAGGAGGAGGAGGGGGAAGAGGAGGAGGGGGAGAAGGGCAGACCACAAGGGGGAGGGGGAGGGGAAGAAGTTATATAATGATAATCATGGTGAAGATGGTGATGATGATGCTGCTGATGATGCTGCTGCTGATGATGATTATTATGATGCTGATGCTGTTGATGATGGTGATGCTGATGACGATGATGATGGTGATGGTGATGGTGCTGATGATGATGAGATGCAGATGCTGATAATGATGGTGGTGGTTATGATGATGACAATGCTGATGTTGATGCTGATGCCGATGATGATGATGCTGCCGCTGATGTTGCAGATGATGCTGATTATGATGATGCTGGCGATGATGAAGATGCTGCTGATGATGATGTTGATGCTGTTGATGATGAGGATGGTGGTTGTTGTGGTGACGCTGATGACGATGATGATGATGCTGATGCTACTGCTGCTGAGGATGCTGCTGCTGATGATGATCATGCTGCTGCTGCTGACGATGATGATGATGGTGATGATGATGATGATGAGGATGATGATGATGATGCTGATGATGCTGCTGCTGCTGCTGATGATGATGATGATGATGATGATACTGATGCTGCTGCTGCTGCTGCTGATGATGATGATGATGATGATGATGATGATGATGATGATGATAACGATGTTGATGCTGCTGCTGATGATGATGAGGATGAGGAGGAGGTGGAGGAGGAGGAGGACGAGGAGGAGGAGGAGGAGGAGGAAGAGGATGACGAGGAGGAACAAATGTGTGTGGTGTCGCAGGACGGCGTTTCCTCGGCGGCCTCAATTGCGATCCCGTCCCAGAAAAGGCTCTGGGGAAGGTCCAGGTTACTGAGGATAGTTTCAATAAGTACGTGGAAAGGGCCAGTCTCCGATCTGGCAACTCGCCGTCGTCGTCGTTGTACTATTCAGCAGTTCCCCATTGTGGAGGCCGCCTGGTGGGTGGTCTTTTCTTGCCCACGCCTGGCGAAGTGTGTTGCCGCCTCAGGTTCTGACGCCCAGACGTTCCTTGAGGTCCCAGAGGCCCCCAAAGGGTCAAACGCGTTCAACAACTTATGGGAAACCTTCAGTACCGATGCCCTGTCGTCACATGGATGACGTGAGCCTGAGCCGTTTGGGTTTCGCATGGCGTTCTGGTTCCGCCGCGAGCAGGTTCCCGCTGCCGCTGGGGTGCCCCGAGGCAGACGGGGCGGCAGCAGCAGACAGCTGTTCTGTAGGGTCGCCTTGCGCCACCTGGAGCTCTGAGACGGAGTTTTCATGGAACGCGTCGTCCAGGATTCCCTGCTCCTCCTCATTTCTCCTCCTCCTCCCCATTATTCTCCCCCTTCTCCTTCTCCTCCCCATCTCCTTCCTCCTCTTCCTTCTTCTCTCCCCTCCTTGCCGACCCCCTTCCCGATTTACTCAGCATCCTGCCCTTTCTCCCCTCCCCCTTCTCCTGTCCCCCTCGCATCCTCCGATTCCTCCATCTCCTCATCTTACCCCGTCTCCTCCTGCTCGTCCCGACCAGCCCGCTTTCCCTCGTGCTTCGGATCCATCCTTGCCGTTCGTGGGTACCCAATCGTCCGCCCCGCCCCCGAATGGTGGAATCCCACCCCTTCTCCCCAACGACAAGTACAGGAGGAACAGGAGGGGGAGAAGGAGGAGGAGGAGGAGGAGGAGGAGGAGGAGGAGGGAGAGCAGGAGGAGGATGGAGTAGGAGCAGGGAGGGGGAGGATTAGGGATGGGGATGAGGAGGTGTGAGGGGAAAAGGGGGTAGTATGAAGCATGCGTGGCACGTCGGAATGTCTTCCGCACGTCGTTGGGAAGGAGGCCGTGCCCTCTATGTATGACTTGCGAGTGACTTGCGAGTATTTTGACCAACCCATCTCTTCATTCTCGGCCGAGGCTGCAGCTCTGGAAGACGCCATCGATACTATCCACATAATTTGCGTCTGGCTACACCCTGCTCTGAGCCCGCGGCCAAGGAGAGAAGGAGCAGGATGGGAGGGGAGGAAGAGGCACGGAGGAGGAGGAGGAGGAGGAGGAGGCGGAGGAGGAGGAGGAGGAGGAGGAGGAGGAGGAGGTGCAAGGATCTGTTTTTTTTGGGCGGCGCCTCGAGGTCCTCTACCTGGTGGCCACTCTGCACGTCTCCCCGCGCGCGCCCCGCGACGTGCACGCCGTCGTGGACGCCGTGGGGCCGCAGCTCGTGATGATCGAGCTGGACGAGGAGCGACTCAATCGCTTCAGCACGAAGGACGTCGGCGAACTCCCCAGTACATGGACAATATATTCGAACCCAATGCAGACGTGAAGGGAATGCTGCCCCCCCCCCTGCCCCCCCACTTCAATGCTGAGATCGGTATGGGTGTTGCTTTGGGGGTTCGAATATTATTGTCCACCCAAGCCCCCCTTCATTGCCACATCTCCCCAGTATTAATTTCGGGGTCCGGGGGACATCTTGTGTCGCAGGGTTCGGATATATTGTCCATGTACGGTCTCTCTCTTTGCAGTCGGATCTCCCAGCAGAACACCTGCCCGAGCCTCAGCACCTGCGTGGCCCTTTTCTCGTCCTTCTTTTGCTCCTCCCCCTCCTCGTCCTCGTCCTCGTCGTCGTCGTCGTCGTCGTCGTCGTCGTCGTCTTTGATGAGTCTCCTCGGGATCTCTCGGGGCCTTTTTATGGCCCGCCTGGGGCGCTCCGTACTTAGCTTTTCAGTCCTCTTTACGATGTGTTGGACCAGCTCTCCATAAGGAATCCGGTTGTATCAGTATCATTGTCCCTCGTGTGTATATATATATATATAAATCAATAAATCAATACATAATTGAATGAATAAATACCGCCCCCTCTGGCCCTGGGTCCCACACCTCCCCGGAACATCTCGGGAGCGCTCCCGGTACCGCTCCCCTGGCCTTTCCGGGGAGCCTCCACAGCGCCCCAGGAGGGCCCAAGACGCCTCCCAGGAGCCCCCAGAATGCGCAAGGACGGTCCAAGACGCTCCCATGCAGCCCAAGTCAGCCTTCGACGGCTCTCGAGGCTCCCAGGTGGCCTCCAAGAGACCCGAAGAGAGGTTTGAGAGGCGTCCAGGGACGGCCCGAAGAGGCCCAAATCGTAGTTTTCCATTTGTTTTTTTTCTCAATGTTTTTGGCTTCTCGCGTTTTCGAGCTTCCAATGGTCCAAGACCGCCGAGAGGCTCCAAGGACCGCCCCAAGACGACCCAAGCGACCCTCAGGACGGCCCCAAGACGGGCCAAGAAGGCTCCAAGACTGCCGAAGAGGCGCCCAGGACAACCCCAGCCCCAGACCACTCCAGAACAGGCCCAAGATGGGCCCAAGAGCAGGAGCAGGAGGCTTCCAGAGACCTCCGAGAGGCCTCCGGGACCACCCAGAGGCCCCCAACACACCCCCGATCCCTGAGAGGCCCCAACAGACCCCGACGAGGCTCCAAGAACAGCCGAAGAGAGCTGCGAGAGCCGTCCCCAGAGAGCCCAAAGAGGGTAAATTCGTTGATTTCCAACGGTTTTTCTAATGTTTTTCGCCTTCTCACGTTTTCCCGCTTCCAACCCTCGAAGATCGAGGATTTGGGAAAAAATGGAATTCCCAGAATTCCGTGTTTTCTTGTTTGTTATATGAAAAAAAGGACTCTTACTCGGAGATCCCACACATCCCCTGACATCTGGCCGGTACCGCGCCTCCCGGCTTCCGGGGGGCCCCCAAGACGCCCAAGGACAGCCCAAGACGACCCTAAGCAGCCCCCAGAACGTAAAGAACGGCCCAACACGCTCGCGCGCAGCCCGAATCACCCTTCCGACGGCTCTCCAGGCCTCCAGGAGGCCTCCAGAACCCCAGGGGGTCCGGAAGATCCCACACCCCTGAGGGGCCCGGCTAACAAAACCCGCGAGGCACCGACAAAAAACAGCGCCGAACAGCGCCGAGGAACTGGAAACAAATTGTAATCCCACATTTTTTTCTTCAAGTTTGGCCCACTGTTTACTCTTGCACAACATACCACAATTCAGACCCCCCTCACCTCCCCCAAAAAGAACCCAGGAAGCCTTTGAGAGCCCCAAATTGTTGAATACCTAAAAGGAATTAATGATTTCTGCGTTTCCGCACTTTCCCTTCCATGCGATTCCGAGGCTTGCGCGGGGCCTCCAAGGGAGTCCCTGGACGCAAGAAGCGACCAAAATGATATTGCATGAGTTAGCCTATCAAGCCTAGCTAGAACTTGAGCGCGCACGAAGCGCGCGCGATGGTTCTCTGATCCTACACATACATAGAGAAATAGAGTCAGAAAGAGAAAGAGAGAGAGTGAGACGGAGACGATACATATATTTATAGAGATATCGCGATATGCACACAGTCGTACACATACATCTATGCGCATCTACACATTGGTGTACACATGCAGGCATACGCACATACATGCAACGTTTTTATGTATGCACATCTAGTTTTTTTTTGTTTTTGTTAAAAAAATATTTTTTTTTTTTTTTTTTTTTATATATATATATATATGTGAATGTGCATGTGTACACATACATGTATTCAATGTGTATGTATGTATATGCATTCGTAATGGCGATGGGGAGGACGCTCATCGTGAGGTGCGTTGGGGACGCCCTGGAGCGTTTCATAGTTGGGTTGGGGATTTGGGTTGAGCATGAGGACCCGCCGCCGCCGAAAGACTTGCAGCCACTCGAGATTCTGGACGCTTCTGGCGCCGAGTCGTGGACTGTGGAGGCGCAGCGCGCGCTTTGGAACGGGGAGCGCGCCAATCTCCTCATCGACAGCGAGGTCGTGTTCGACGAGGACTGGCCGTTTCTGCGAGGGGCCCCAGAGGAAGATCTTTGCTCATTCCTCCCTCCCTTCTACTTCCCTCTCTCCCCTCCTTTGCCCCACCCCGCAAAGCGTGTTTGTGGGTAGCGTGCCCCCCTGGCTTTCTGTGGCCAGGACTCCAACCCAGAAGCAAGCGGGGAGTGGCAAGGGGATGGTGGAGGGGTGGGAAAGGGGGAGGAGGGGGAGTGCCATGTGGATAGGCCGTGGGTTGGTTCCCAACCCTGCTCTGTGTTGGGTCCTCGCAGTACCGCGCGTCCTCACCTGACCACCTTGCTCCCGCTCCTCTCCCCTCCTCCTCCGCCTCCTCCTCCTCCTCCTCCTTCTCCTCCTCCTCCTTCTCCTCCTCCTCCTCCTCCGCCTCCTCCTCCTCCTCCTCCTCCTCCTCCTCCTCCTCCTCCTCCTCCTCCTCCTCCTCCCCCGCCTCCTCTCCTCCTCCTCCTCCTCCTCCTCCTCCTCCTCCTCCTCCTCCTCCTTCTCCCCCCTCACACGTTTCCTGCCCCCCAGGGAGTTCCACATGGGGCCCCAGTGGGTGCGTCCGCACGGCGCCCCCGCGCCCATGCCGGCACACCTCTCCCACGCGTCATGCCCCCCAGGGAGCTACATTTGGGGCTCCAGCGGGTGCGTCCGCATGGCGTTCCCGCGCCCGTGTCGGCACATCTCCCACACGTCTCCTGCCCCCCAGGGAGTTCCACCCATGGCCCCAGTGGGTGCGTCCGCATGGCGTCCCCGCGTTCGTTTCGGCATGCCCCTCACACGTTTCCTGCCCCAGGGAGCTCCACCTGGGGCCCCAGTGGGTGCGTGCTCATGGCGTCCCCGCGCCCATGTCGGCACACCCCTCACGTGTTTCCTGTCTCCCAGGGAGCTTTACCTATGGAACTATGGCCAAAATGGGTGCTTCCGCAGGGAGTCGTGAGAGTGCTTGCGTGAATGCAGAACTGCAAGCGCTGTTTGATGTTTTGGCGAAGCGTTCATGGGTACCGCAGGCCCCTAAAAGTGTTTTGGTGTATTGAGTGATCTTGTTCATAGCTGCCTCTTTCCGAAAATGGGTTGGGTTCTTCGCCAGGCTAATCGTTTTTCTGGGCGATGCCCTGGCTCGGCAATGGGAGCAAAAGTCGGATGACTAGCCCTTCTGAGGAAATACATGCGCAAGGGGATCATTTGGATATCGCGGCACACGCGACGATTTTGTGACGCAGCGATGTTGTAGATTAACACCAATTCGTTCAGAGTTCATTCGAATGCTTGCTAGTGTAGACGACACCAAAGCGTGAGTTCTTTCACTCTCAATATGCATTCTTTGGGGGGGGACAATCTGGGGTGTAATACATTTGGTGCAATATATGTGGTGCAGGTCACCTGTGAAGGTCGTGGTTCTCAACTCCAATGCTCGCTCACACATCCCACCTTCCCACCCACAACGTATTTCGCAAAACCCCTCCGGCGACGACTGCAGCTGAAATAGGGCAAGGTTGGTGCACCTCTGCGCCCCATTGGCGCGCGCCCGCGCAAGCGCAGACCGGCCAGCTGGTTTGGCACGAATGATGCGGCCGCGATGGCGTTTACCGATGGCAACTTCCCAGCGCCTCTCGAAGGCCGCGCTGGCGCGCGGGCATTTCCGTTCGGGTCGGTGACTTCGGGCAGGCGAGGTATCATGATCATGCCGACCTTGGCGACGACGTCGACGATGACAATGATGGAGGCGGTGATGTTCCCGACGATGGTGATGATAATGACGATGATGATTTTGATTAGGATGACGACGGCCCTGATGGCGCTGACGACGACACTAGCGACTGCGTTGATGAGGATGATGAGAAAGTGCGCGCCCGCAGAAATCACGCCGTCCTGACACGATCTCCACGTGCGCGTGCGCAAACGTGCACGGGTGGTCTTCGTGGTGTTGTTCGACAGACTTCGTGGGCGCGCAATGGTGCTTGACCGTTTCCGTGTTTTCAACGGTGCTCACAATGGTGCTTTTATGTTTGTTGTAACGTTTTTTTGGCTTTGTTTTATGCCCATTTGTTCTGGTTTCGTTTGTTCAGTTTTGTTGTTGTTGTTGCTGTAAAAAGAGTTACACGAGTGCGCGCGCATAATTCCGTCAATCGTTAATCGAATACAGAGGTTCTGTTAGTTATTGAGCTGCCACGTTTTGACATGGGGCGCGCGTGTGGACTTCTTTCGGCAACGGGTTCTGCAACAGTCATCTTTTGATGTAAAGGACTGTGCACGCACAAAATGACCTGACACGGATGACGGGAGGATCGATGCCAGCATGGTCGGGACGGTATGTATTCATACGGTAAATGAGCGATGGGTTACCGTTTATATGTACATTGCTTGACCCCGGGGGGGGATCGGGAAATCCGGGCTCTGGAGGGTTGAGAATTCATGTGGTGCAATCAACATCGTTCAGCCATTGTCGTGAAATATATGGGACTTCGCATGTGTGGTGTAGTTTATGTGATGTAACTTGTTTTTGTGAAGCCATGGGTTGTCATGTGCAATTTTCGCGCAACCACCCTACCCTCCCACCCGCAACTTGGTTTACAATGCCCTTGCGGTGGCGATTGCGGTGTCTGCTGGCCCATCGTTTGCGCATCTCTGCGGCCGCGCTGGCGCGCGAAACTCGCGCGCAGAGCGGCCAGCTGGTTTGGCACAGCCGATGCGGCCGCGATGGCGCTTACCGATGGCAGCGTCCCAGCGTGTGTCGAAGACCGCGCTGGCGCGAGGGTTCAATGCGGGTCGGTGGCTCGGGCGGTCGGGTCATGGTGACGTCGACAGCGGTGGCAACGCTGATGATAGTAACGATAGTGATGGCGGCGACGATGGCGATGACGACGGCGAGGCCAGTGAGAGCGCCGATGCTGGTAACGCCGATGACGATGATGATTTCCATGTGCCGATGATGAAGGTGCTTGAATGATGATGGCTGGAATTGTGGCACTTGCCGGCGATGACGTGATGCGGCTGCGCTGATGACTGCGATGATGAGGAAATTCGCGCTCGCGGAAATCCGAGAACCCTGGACATTCGTAAGTTGGCAACACATATGCGTGCTCGCGTGGCGGCGCGCGCGAGTGGCTCACATGGCATGATTTTGTTTACTTTCGTGCACTGGGCGCGTGCTGGATCAACACGGATGCACCGCGTGGTGAGGTGAGAATGCACGTTTTGGACGGGAAAGCGAAATTCATATGCTTTCCTTATGGTTTCAGCAAAACCGCACGGCCAGAACATTTGCAACAGTTGTGGTGAAACAGCAGAGAGGGGTGTTTACGTTTTTTGTCGCAATATTTGCAGAGCTTGCGTGTCTTGCTATGATATCGACATGATCGCGCGAGTGTGCGGACTTAGTGTGTAATTTTGGAAGAGGTTGTTGCGCCGATCCGAAAAAATGATTGTCTTTACCACGGTGCATTCTGCCGCCATCGAGGCCGGCGCGAAATCGAAAATGGCCAGCTCGGGGCGCGAGGGTGGAGGAGCGGCGTGATCTGGGGCAGGAGCAGCGCTTCTCCGCACTTGGCCTGTGGGGCCCAGCACAATGTGAACCTAACCCCCCGCCATCCTCGGCCCAGAATCGGGGTTCGGCTTCCCGTTACAATTCTTAAATCCCAAGTTTATTTAAACACCCGAATCTGAGCAAACCGCAGCAGGCTTCTTCAGAAGAACCTGTGAAGCTTGCCCCCAAGACGATTGTGCAGGGCCGTGCAGGCGGGGCGCGCTGCCCCGTGCCCCCCGCGCAGGCCTTAGCCTTAGCGTTGCCGCAGGGCGGCGTGCGCAGGCGGGCCCAGCTCGCAGTATTTGGCGGCTGGCGGCTGGGCCCCCAGCCATGACTTGCCGCTTGGCTTACGTCTTCCTCCTGTTGTTCTTGAAGACGTGTGCGCGGGGCCGACCAGGCAGCGTTTTGGGCCGACGCCGCGACATTGGTTTCGGCAGGCCCAAGCCACACCGGGATCGGCATAAATGAGAGTTCCCAGTCACACCTAAGTCAGACTTGGGTCTTCGGGCAAGAGTTAAATCAGAGTTCCAATCGCACCTAATCAGAGTTTGTGCTGAGGGCCAGACTTGAATCAGAGATCCGGCGCAGACATAAATCATACCTTCATCAGAGCTTTGGGCCAAAACAGAGAAGCAGAGTTTGCCTCCAGAAGACACGCTCATTTCTTGGAGGCCCTTGGGACGTCTTAGAGCGATCTCTGGAGGTATGACGGCTTCTTCGGGGTCGTCGTGTGCCGTCTTCGGGCTCTCGTGGGGTTCTCCCTGGTCGTCTGGAGGGTGGTCTGAAAAGGCCCGGGGTGGGTCAAATTCGTCGAGGGCGCGCGCGTGTGGGGCGGGGGGGGGGGCGGCGTTTTTTTGTTGGGTCCCCGGCACTACAAAAATATATGATTAGGAATATTCGTAGTTGTATGTATGTATGTATGTATGTATGTATGTATGTATGTATGTATGTATGTATGTATGTCAGTATGTATGTATGTATGTATGCATGCATGTATGTATGTATGTATGTATGGATGTATGTATGTGTATGTGTATGTGTGTATGTATGTATGTATGTATGTGTGTATGTGTGTGTATATATGTGTGTATATATAGTAACAAATTACTACGTATATATGTATATGTGTTTATATATATATATATATATATGTATGTGTACATGTATATACATATGCATATGTATGTGTGTAGGAGATGGAGGGGTGAGGTCGCAGTGGGACGGAAATCCCCAACCGTTTCGTTTCGTTCGCGTCGTGCGTGCGGGCGAGACGAAGTTGCGTGGGCGCGCGAGAGGAATGAACCAGCCGTTGTATGATGCTCCCCCCACCCGCCCGTCCGGCGGTGGCTCGCGGTGTCCCGCGGTGTCCCGGCTTCGTTTCGCTTTCTAGGCCTTTTTTTTTCTCGTCTTTTTTTTTTTCCAAGCCTGGATGTCCCGCGGTGTCCGGGCCTTTTTCGCCTTCCAGGCCTGGGTG